GTGGTCTTTAGAGTTCTTTGAACGATAGGTTTTGTGGATGTAGAGGTTCGCTGGGAGGAGTATCAGAAAGGCACAGCACGGTGCCTCCTGGCTTGAGCCATTTCTGCTCTGGTGATGAAATGGAAGTGAATTTTTGCTGATTTATTGCAAAATAGTTTCTGAGGTGTTTAGAGGAGCTCCAAGCTTTTGATGCCCAAGAGCCTCTTTTTCCAGGCCGTTTGCATTAGAGGCCTGAGGAGTAGATGGTTTGTAATTTACCTCTAACATCAGAAAATGACAATTGCAATGTTGTGAGATGTGTTATTACATTCACTAGAGTGAAATCTTCTATGCATAGAGTAGATTCTAGCTTTTGCTTATTTTTGTTTGATAGCTGTGGTAAACTAAATTTAGTTGCAAGATGGATTTTATTCTCCCTAGCAGAATGTTATTTATTTTGGCTTTTAGTTACAGCGTGCTAAGGGAAACATTTCTGGAGTAAAATCCTTTAGGAGAAACAACCTGTTTTAGAAACCTTCACATAATGAGCTTAACAGTAATATATGACAAGTGCTCTTTAATCTAACTTTGCTTTATAACCATGACAGCAGAATTCTCAATAGACAAAATTTCATCTCTAAATCAGGATTGGTGTTAAGGATCAAAATGGAAGCACCTTTATTAGCCATCAGTCCCAGAGCATGTAAGTTAATGTAACTGTTGCAAAAGCTGGTGGCCCTAAGACTAGATGGGGCACCTGCTCCCATGCAGGCCAGAGAGAGCCCACTCTGATTTTCAGACTATTGAAACAAGGAGTGAATAAGTAAATAAAGTAATAACTTAATTGAATAAATTTAGTTATTCAGCCAGGTAACATATAAAGATATCTCGGTTCTTTAAATTCTAAATAAAACTTCCAAAAATAGACACTCCACTCTTAAAATTGACTAGGACTTTGAGAACGAGACTAAAGATCCAAAGTCTCTTTTGGAAATGAGACTCCTGAAGCTAGTATCTAGATCACCACTGCCTATTTGAGAAATAACAGAACCCTTCAATAACTGTGTCAGAACAGCTCCTATCCAGAAACCTATCTTGAGTGATGTTCAAAATGTGCTTAGGTATTACAAGTTGTAGTTAGCAGTTTGTATTTAAATAGCTGTGTGAAGAAAAGTTTTAGATCGTTTAACCTCTGAAATTGGAAATATCCAGTAGACTCTAAGTTTACAGGCATGAAAGTGAAAATGCATTTGCTGTTCTTCGTGAACAGGTCAGTGAAATTCTGTTCCAGAAAATAATTTGAGAATAGAAAAAATAAACACTGTGTTTCATCTAAGTGAATACAGTAAACAATGCTCTAAAGTGAACTATAAGTTCAAAAAAAAAAAAAAGGAAATAATATTAAAAATATAGAGGATATTTTTTTTTTCTTTGAGGGTCAAAGTGAAAAGGAGCATCACAAAGTTATTGGAGAAGACAGGAGGCTTTGTAAAAGATAGGGAGATGGAGCAAGTGAAAGCTTATGTTCAAAAGTGATGTGTTGTTTTGTAATTTCTATATTGGATTTGTAGAACTTGTAAAAAGTTCTCAAAGGTGTTGAAGATGCGCCCGAGATCGTGCCCATGTCCAGTATCTCTTTTAGATATCCTTAATAAGCATTTCTAGATATGTCTGTTAACCATATAATGAGGATCTGTAAAACCATCAGGATTTAAACCCAGTCTTTACCTCCTACAGAGTGAAATGAGAACTTCAGCCCATTCCATTTCTGCAGGTGTCTTGTATCTGGCTGTGACACAGCCATCGATTGCAGATAAGATGATGGCTGAATGATGGACTCCGTCTTTTTTTGTTTGGTTGTTTTGTTTCTTGAGCTAATTCTGTTGGATATTTCTGTGTTCTTCTGCCTACAGTGCATGTTAGTTCAGTGATTTGAAATTTTATTTCAACTAATAAGGGAAGACTTTGGACCTTACTTTCCTATGAGAGAAAACTGAGTAAGATGCCTATTCAGCATTAAAATGAATTTTTATTTTAACAATCTGACCTTACGTGTTTTGGGCAACTTACGGAATTTTTCACATTTGAGTGTAGTATGACCCAGACTGAGATTGAAGTGGAAGCAGTGATCACGAGAACAGGTTTTATATCTCCATTTGAATCATTTCATCCCTTTTTTATCTTTTTTTTTAAACATACATCAGATGTTATGTTGATTTTGTCTTTTTGTCTGTTTTGCCTTATTCTTAGAATTGGATTATGAAGACAGGCATTCATACAGACACATGTATGATCATAGGAGATGCCACTGAAATGAAGATTAAAGAAGTATCTTTTTTCTTCTTCTTCGAAGTATTTTTTTATATAATTCTTAATGGGTTGCTTTTTTTTTTTCTTTGTTTTCTTAACAGCTACAGTATTGTAAAGGTAGTTTGTTGTTCTCTCCTGTAATTGATGTTTTCTATTTCAGGAGCTTGAAAATACTGTATACACACATGCAGACTTGCTTGTATCCTTTAGTATCTCTCAACTTGCCTGACTGTGGTAGCAATTCCCTTTGAGCCCCCCAGGAGCAGCAGTAATAAACGTCAGTGTGTGTATGTAGAGGGGAGAGATGACAGAGTGATGTTCTTTGCACCATCATGGAGCAAAGCTATTGCAGCACAGGCCATCTCATCGCTTTTTCAAATACGGTGGACTATGTGAATACTGGGCAACTCTTTTAACTCTTTTCCTTATTGTATCATCCTAAATCTACTTAGCACTGTATAACACTCATTTTTGAGACAGGAAATTTGAGGCAATTTCTTTACAGTAATGAAATGTTAGAGTCAAATATGTCAAAAAGCAATTTTTTCTTTAACGGTGAAAAGAGGTGGCTACTGAAGAAGCTCCCTGGACTTGTAGAAAAAGCATTGCCCTGTGTTTGAGTCACTTGTTCCCTGAAGGTAACTGAGTTAACAGAACTAGCTGTTCTGAGATGATGAATGACCAGTGTCTCTTCAGGATGAAGCAAGATGCCGGGTCCCTGTATCAAATGCCTGTTCATCCCTGGTGCTCAGAGGGTCCAAGCTAAGAACACAAAGCAAGGTGCTGGGTCCTTGCATCAAAGGCCTGTTCATCCCCGGTGCTCAGAGGGTCCAAGCTAAGAACAAGCTCCTGGACAGTGGAATAGCAGCGAAGCAGGGAGCTCTTTGCGCTCCCTCAGTCACAGCCAGCCTGGGATGCTGGCAGGAAGGAGAAAGCAAAGCACTTAAATTTAATAGTTCTGACTCAAGTGCCTGTTCAGGAGCCAAGGCTGAGGTATGAAACAGGAGCTTCAGCAGCAACACGTGACTGCACATAAAGTTGGAGGGGGTTCAGTAGAGGTGACTAGTGGTTTTTTTAAAAAATAAAAAAATTAGCTTTGATGTTACCATCCCTTGGAAGATGAGGGGATGGCCACAAAGTCCTAGTATGACTTGAGTTTTGATATTATGCTGCCAAGTATTCAAGAAAATGCAGCAAAGTGTTTATTGATGCCACACAGAGAAAACAAGTGAAAGCTGAAAGCTGGCAGTAATTCCTGAGGAGCGGACGATTCTCCACCTCGGAGCCAGGTAGGAGCCTGCCGCGTCACCCGAGCGCTGACCTTGTCTCTTTTCTCCTCTCCCCGGCAGGTTACGTGTTCTGTATGTTACACCGCCTGCCTGAACAGCACGACTGCACATTTGACCACATGGGACGTGGGCGCGAGGAAGCCATTATGAAAATGGTGAAACTGGATCGGAAAGTAGGGAGATCTTGCCAGCGCATTGGCGAAGGATGTTCCTGAGTGCGAGACTCTGCAACCAAATGCTGTTCTCTTAGTTCACTAATGTTAGCCTTATTTAGGACAAAGTCAGCCAGACACCTTGTACTAGGCAAGTTTCAGACTACAGCCAATCAGTTTCCTTTCCTTAGCCAACCGTCCTGGTACTGTAGTTTAGGGATTGAGGGTGGTTGAAATTGATTTCTGGCTGGTTACTAAGGTGCCTGCTAGCCACTGTATGAAATTAAAACATGAAGAAATACTATTTTTGAGCATGGCTAGTGGATTTAAACAAAACGAGACAAATCCAAAGGCTTCTGGTATCGCTGGAGTCACTCTAAAAGCCTTATGCTGGAAACATTCCAGCTGCAGAGTTAAAACAAATAGTTATATAGAAGCTGGTGTCAAAGTTTGCTATGCACATGGCTTTCAGACCAACTGTTCAATGTGCAGCCTTTCACCTCTTCACCTCTAGTTAATCCTGAGGAGGTGAAACACTACTAAGAGCAGCGACCGCGGCTGCTTAAGCCCAGAAGACCTGACTGGTCACTCGTGCCTTCATCGCGTGTGGCTTTTGAGGTTTGGCAATGTCACCAGCATCAGGGATTCTGTTGGGGTAGGAACATCTTTCTGGTTCTTCCCAGGAAGCCAAAAAGAAAGGGGGACAGAGATTCTTATGAAAAATTTTTATATCTATCTTGCTATGAAGAACCTATCTGGGTTTTTTTTTCTCAGTTAAATTGTGATCTCGCTGAACGCCAACTTCATCCCAGAGCAGTTAGTGGTGCGTACTTTTTACATGGCATCCGTAGAGTTTCTAAGAGTTGTGTGAACAGATTGCACGTACATTGCATCCACTGACCAGTGCAGCCATTCCCACCGGCCAAAACCTGATTGGCTCTTGTTTGCCTTTTGCTAAGTGCAGGTATCTGATAATTGATCAAATAAGGCTAATTCACAGCACAGTAGCCATGGCTGGATTCTACAGACTGACTTTCTGTAGCTAGACTTATATATTGGGGGGGAAAAAAAGGACTTTTTGTAGCAAACGGAATTCAGTAACAGTATTGGGGAACAACCGTGAAAACACCCTTCACCAGATTGAGTTTGTATTCCTCACTTCCAGAGTGTCAATGAGATAATCCAAGGGGCTCTGCCAGCCCTGTTTCTATGCAGCTGAGCGCTCGCACGAAAATCTCTGCCCGCACCCATTGCAAAGCAAGTACAGCAAGTGAATGTGAAAAGCATTACATGGAGTAGAATGTTTTGGATCTGTTTAGACCTATGGTTCTGTATTACGGTATGTTACGCTGAGCTGAGCTGAACTGAATTGCACTGATCTCATCAGTTTATAAACAAACAAGCAAAAATTAATAATTAAGCATGTCTCCTGCTGCACACAGGGTTATGCAAGTCCAGACGGTGTATACTGAAACGGCCCAGCACAGTCCTGAGTGAATTTAGCTTCTCAGTCCATTAGCAAGGTATCTAAAATCAGGTAAACTAGT